AATGTGGGTTGTTGTGATGACGCAGGCAACTTTTATACGCTCGGACAACAAAAATGCGAGTAATATCAGGTGAAAGTTTAGAGGAATTACTAGTGTGGGGGTGAGAGTTACGGAATAAGCAAGTCCAGCAGCAATGGTGGGATGTATTAAGTAGTGTTAGTTAGTTAGAATGGTGATCTGAATTGTGAAAGTAGGAAAGTTGAGCATGAGTACTTTCGGGTAAACTATGCGAAGGAGAAAAAGAAAGACAGAGAGCATGAGAAAAAAAAGAGACATAGAAGGGAGGGAAAGTAAAATTTTGTTTGCAAAGCTGCGTAAATAATGGTAAGTGCGACTGTTTGAATTTTTGTAGCTTAAGCGTGAACTTTACTCTACTTTAGCACTTAGAGATTAGACGACGAATTCGCTTGACAAAATGGAAATAGCATTTTAAGCTTTTATGGTCTGAAATAGAGATTTATTTGACTTGAAATTTTAATTTTTCCACAGCAGATGAGTTTATAAAAGCGAATGAGGTTAGGAAACACAAAGTAACTTATTTTAACACAGTACACATAACCTTGGGCAAGTTGATGACACTTTCAGCTATATCAAATTCTGCGTGTCTGAAAACATTTTTCAAGCTTCTTCGATAAGATTTCAATAAGAGGCATAAGTGGGCCTCACACAGAAGCTGCTCTGGCAGAGAAGAATCCAGCAAAATCGAAATTAATTCACAAGATTAGTAAACCATAAATACTAACGGATTTTGTGCTCTTTAATGTTTATGACCAGGGAGAAGCAGAAACTGTTTCAGAATGTGTCTGCACCGAGCCGCGAAGTTCATTCCGATGATCTAAAGATCAATATTCTTAGAAAATTAGAAAGCTTCAGTATTTTCTAAGCGGCGTATCAATAGACACAAGTTATAGAATATATTACATACCCGAGAAATTGAAGCATTTCGTGACCTTATGATGAAAAATATGGAGCTGGAACAAGTTTAAAGAAGTTTCAATAACATTTAAGCAAAGCGTAATAAAAATGGGATATATGTATGACCTCACTACTGCTAAGTTCTTAATCCAGTTTGCAAAATAATGTAACTTGTAAGGTAAACACGAGTTTACTTTTCAGGTGCAGAAGCCATAGTTCTTGGATTTTCAAAAATTTTGGTAGGAATATGTGGAAATTTGAATTTTCAATAAATAAATAATTAATTTTTTAATAGAATTTTTGCTCACTTAAACCAAAATCCTCACACTGAGAAATTTTGCGAAGCTTATATTGCCATAATTTCATCAAAATTAAAACATCCAAGTGAAAGTTGACTGCTACCCCAGGCGCCTGAGCGTGCAAAGACTCACTAACCCACTTTTAGTTGAAATTCGACAAACACTAGGAAACCACACAAACTAGCGTGGGCAGAGTGGGAACTGATGCAAAATAAATTAACCAATAGCAACAACAATAAAGCAAACTGAAACGAAAGCGACTCGTATGTTGCAAACAAATACAAATGCCACTTGCTAACTCCTGGCACAAGCGCGCGACAAAAGTCATGACAAACAAATTTACAAGCACTTGTGACAATTGAGGTGGTAGCGAACGCTGGTAAAGCCATGAAGGAGTAGGGTGGGTGTGGCAGCTCACCGCTCTTAAGTGAAATACTACAAGAAAATTTAGTTTATTTTGTGTGGAAGAACAACAAAAGCAAAAGCAGTAAATTACTGTGTTTCGCCGCTTTCCTGTCGTGCGGCGCGCTTGGTGTTTGGCGTGTAGTGTTCGTCGCGCGCGAATTAGAATATATAGCCACAATTGAGTTAACTGTGTAATTATTTTTTTTGGTTTTGTGTTGTTGTTGTTTACCACATCAAGTGGACTGTGCAACCTTACTGCGACGACACTCACTAAAAATTGCATTTCTACATGCAAAAGTTTCAATCCGCTGCGGACATGCCATAAAATATGAACGAAGCAAAAAGCAAAATGAAATAAATTGGAAAAATAGTTTTAAAAAAATTAACAAATACACATGAGCGTTACTTTCTATGCAAGCTTAGCTTTTTCTTTTTAAATTTGGTTTACCACTTTTTGTTGTCGAAAATTTCCGAACTTTTATTCACTTTTCCTTTTTCACATACAAATTATTAATATTCCTTTTATTTTCAACTTTTTGCCGCAAGCTTGAGAGCAAACAACTCGACTTCCATCACATATATACTTATAAATGTATTTGTGTATGTGGTTAAACCAGCGAAAGCTAACAAACTATTGCACCTCAATTTTTTTCTCAATCAACCTTGACTCAGATTTTATGGTTTGCTCCGTTGTGAAACCCTTTTTGTCGTATTCATTTAAGTAAATGGAAAATTTGTGTTGAATTTTAATGATATTTGCGAATGGTTTATTGAGTTCTAATGGCAATGCGATATCAGTGTGCAAGGTCAGTGGAAGAAGAATAAAAAGAGAACTAAAGCAATTGGAGAGTAAAAAGAGAGTCTCTGTGGAGACTAAAAAGAGGCAGAGGTAAGGACAACCAACTAAAACCAGATTGTCAGTTGAACTTCTATTGCAAAACAGGTAACCCGTAAACGCGTGCAAAATATCAGATCGATATCTCAAAAACTTAGTATCAGTGGGGAGCCCCTCTCAGTATGATACTGAAAAAATTGTAACAAAAACTAATTTTCAATAAAACTTAAAAAAAAAAAAACATGTAAGGAAGGGCTTAGTTCAGATGTAACCGAACATTTTCTACTCTCGCAAAGTCAAATGGTATACTCGTTTGATATTTCTTTATATATTTCAATATTTAGAAGTAGGAACTGTTGCCTGAATTATTTAGGCAATTTTTTATCACAAGGTGGCGTACTTTACATACAATCATTGTTGCTTGATTTGCATAGTGGAAAGTGAAAGAATCAGAAGGAATTTAAAATGGTGTTATAATAGGCGTGGTTGTAATCCGATTTCGCCCATTTTCGCACTATAACATAGAAATATAAGAAGAAAGGCATCGATTATTGAATATTCATTTGCGAAATCGATAGCGTCAAAATCGATTAAGGTGATATCAGTAAGCGACTGCGTTTTTCCGAACACATGCTAACTTAGCGCCACGTTTTTTCTAAAGCTGCCGTGCATACTTTGATCCTTTTGGAATTGGTGAAATAATATTTTAAATTAACGTTTTGCTCCTGGTTTCTTGTGTTTCTACAATATTAAGGTTTGTATTAATAGAAAACAAATGTTTCATGACCCGTGTATTTGTATTGTATTATTAATTTGTGTTTGTACCTAATAACGTTCTTTTAGCCCATTTGTGAGAAAATTTCATCTTCTGTAGAGAATAACTTTATTAAGTAGGGATTGGATGGAAAAAAGAGTATAATTGTCTAAAAATATGATTCGTCCTTTATTGAAATTGTCAAAGATTAGCTGCCCTGGATTGCCAATACCATTCATGTTTAATAATATTTAACTATATATCCAAGAAATATTCAGGGTGAAATTGGCATTATTGGTAAACATTCCAACGCAAAGCTCGGGTACTACCAAAAAATGAAATACAGCTCGTCGATTTTTTGAAAATTATGTTGTATCCGATAGAACTTCTGGTGTGAGCCATGAGTTAATAAAACGACGAATTAAATAAACGACATCAAAAGCTTCCGCGAATACGCATTAGGAACCGCAAAAATTTTCATCATAAAATATTCATGGTTCTATAAGGCAAGATCAGTACACAGAATTTCGACACATGATATCATAGAAAGTGTACCACTTCCGATTGGCATGATGTCAGCAGAAGCAGTGGAAGCTAGAAATAAAGATTTGAGAAACTTCCGGCTTAATCGTTACGATAAGTCCATTAAATCGGAACCGTGCGGAGCCACGCCCACTTAAAAAAAATGTTTAACTGCATATGCCCCTCTCTAATGTGACTCTGTGTACCAAATAATAGTATTGTATCTTATTGTGAAGCATAGTTATGGCAATTTATTTGTTTTTGATTAATGGCGTTTTGTGGGCGTGGCAGTGGGCCGATCATGCCCATCTGCAATACCAACCGTCTTACAGTACCAAGAAAATGTGTACAAAGATATCTCAATTTTTACTCAAGTTACAGCTTACACAGACGTACGGACAGACGGTCACCCGGATTTCAACTCGTCTCTTCATCCTGATCATTTATATATATATAATTCGATTAGTTTTAGGTGATACCAACAACCGTTAGGTTGACAAAACTATTATACTTGTATTATGAAGCAACATGTTGCAAGAGTATAAAAAACGTTTCTAATTGCAGATTTCTTCACTAAATGAATAACTTTATGGTTGTTGGGAAAAAAATAAAAACTGAAGAGAAATGTGTACGAGAACCCAAAACAAGAAAGAGAGGGCATCGCTTGGCATGGCCGATCGAAGTACACGTACAAGTCTTTAAAAATTAGTTATCAGTGACCTTGTACAAATCTATTATCTTTGTAGTACATAAGAAAATCACATTATGTATGAACGTTAATTATGGAAAAATATATGTTGAGATTCGCCCTTAATCCCAATATGACGCTGTACTCCCTCGAGTTTTATCGGTATATACGTTGATCCGCTTTGAAAAGTATTTGGATTGAAGTGAGAAGTGTTAGGAGCTTTCTACTCTGAGAAAAGTAGAGAGGTAATTACTGACATGACACCACTTTGAGGGACGGATTTAAAGCCTATTATTTGAAAAGATCGAAAGTATATTCAAAAAGATAGTTCCGATTAAATTTATTCGTTGCCGTAAATATAAGGAAGCAGTACTTAGGAAACATCGTCATTTTATTATTGTGAACTATTTCTAGTAAAGTTACTAAAAAAGAAATTTTCATTGAATTTTCGCAAAAGCAGTCTGATATTTTGTAAGTTGGTTTCATTATTTCAAATATTATTTAGTTACGTTAAAAAATTGTTTGAAAGGTTGTATTCATATTTTTGTTTTATTTTTCAATTCACATTAAATATAAACTTACCACAAGCTTCAAATATCTCTTGCGAAACTTAACGAATTTGTTATTAGTTTATGTCAATTAAAACTCGATGTTGGAAGTACTGAAAAAATAAGAGATAATTAATATTAACATAAAATTCATGACTTTATTACATACAAAAATTGGTTAAGAAGCGAAATTTTGATAAATAATTGTAAGTGAAATAAATAAATCAAATAAACAAAAATATTCACGCCAACTGCCTACCACACATTCTAAAACGTGTCATTTACGAAAAAATAATAAAATATAACTCATGACTCCATTCAGCCATCAATAAAATCTACAAGTTTCTCCACCAACAGCTGACAAGCGTTCGTACGCCGCTCGGTGGTTAATGCCAAGCGCGTTGTCATTGCCCCAATTAGGTCGGTCGGTTAGTCAATATCATCGTTTGCCATGCCATTGAATTTAAACTGCCTTTTCCTGACTGCCAACAAATCCACACGCCTAATCATATAAGCGTCTGCAACTCATCTTATTTCCCGCCTAGCTGGACCAACACCACTTCACTGCACAATCCATGTAAGCAATTTCATTATCTCAACTTAATCTCTTTCTAATCTGTGTGTCCGACACGGTCGCGAATTTCATAATTTGATTTCTGCTCTAAGTCGCATTTTGCAAATATTTTTGTATGTACATTAGGGTGGTGCGTAAATAATATTGTTCAACATTTCAAAAAGTGATAGCAAAACGTAAGAGATCAAATATAAATTTTGATACAGATTGCCGATTGAAAAATACAAGGTAATTCAAAAGCTTCGATTAAAGACGTCAGCATTTTTGGAAACTTAATGTTAATACTGTTCTGCCAATTAGATGCCACCCTAACCTACTTATATTCAGGCACCCGTAGTAAAAGAAATATCTCTTACAGCTACGATACGCACACGTAGCAATGCGAAGAAAGCAATTTAACTCGGCAGCTCAATTCCAGTGTGCACGCCTTATCGCGGTTTCATCGGCACTTGCAGACCCATTGAGAGGCAGAGAAAGTCGCAAAAAGCCGCACTAACTTGAAGAAAACCCATAGCAAAAATTAAGTAGACGCAGCAGCAGCACCAGCCCATGGAGACCAACAAGTAGGAAGTCGAGTTCAAGCGAAATAAAGCAGACGTTACACAGTTAAAGTTGACGACCGGACGCTACAGCAAATTGGCTTTTATCGAGCGCACGAGATCAGTCGAACTACACGAAGTGGCAGCCGGTCTTATATTTGAGATGCGAAGAGAGACGGCGGGCTGCAGCAAATACGCAGTCAGTCGCGTTGATTTTTAATGATGGGTGCCCACGACATGCTGCTCTACTGCGCGTTTTAATTTACCGTTCTCGCTGCAAATGGCTGCTGTACATGCCGGCCGGCTGCCTTGACTTTTAGGGTATGTACGGCAAATGAAATGAAATCATTACACTTTAAATCGTGCAAAAGCAGGATGAACAAAGATGCCGTTTTGCAAAAGAGTGACGTTAAAATGAGTAAAAGTAATAAAAAAGAAAGGAGATCCGGAAACTTAGGCTGAGAAGGCTACGGAGGCGACGTACCGCGAGAAATTCGTAAGAACAAAAGACTAAAAAAAGGAAAGAGGGATGATGCGAAGCCAGCGTCGGTAGTGAGTCTGAATGAGGGAATGAGTTTTTGTATTGATTAAATTTCTGCCTTCTTGTCCTGCACTTCACTTTGCTTAGTTATTTATGGCGTGGCGCTTGCTGCATTCGTTTGACTAGACGCGCTCTGGTGTTGGCGCATATTACACTTATTTTAATTCGATTACAAGTCACACTTGAACTGATTTCTTGCCGCAACAAGGCGGCATACTTAAGTTGGATTGTTTCTGAAGATAAATCCAATAGTTCGCTGAACTATGCGACAAGAAAAAAAGTTACAAGTAGTACGTACTTTAAAGTATTTGTGGCTTCTCTTCTTATCGTTGTTGTTGGAAGTTTAAACCACAGACCTTCAAGCATCAAGTCCGTAAACTGCCATTGAGTCGTTAGTCCTGTCAGTTTGTTTGACAGCAACGTAAATAGCTTCTACGCGCACTTAAGCGCATGCTACATGCAACACGCGACAAGGTTATTGCTATAAGCGCACAAATGGCAGCTAGGCTCTCCTCGGCGTAGAAGAGTGCAGCTAATATACATAGTAAATAATAGGTGTAGAAGTGGTAATGCAAGTGAATGTTGCACAATTTTATTTAAGCAGTACATGACACATGTTCGCCGCGATTCGCGTCAACCAACTGACATTTAGTGTTGCAAGACGACGTAATAACATTGGAGTGTCAGCGAAGGAGTCTAAGTGCAGGCGGTGGACAAGTGGCAGGTGAGATATGGTAAATTTGAGACGGAGTTTAAGAAGTGGGTGGAGAGAAGAGCGTTGTATATAGTTTGTGGAAAGAAAACAGATGTTTGAGTGGATTTTATAAATGACGTGAGATGCTGGGCTGGAAGCTTAAGTGTTTTAATAAAGGTTCGGTAAGTTTTCAGCTCTTTTCACAATAATGGAGTTCTCCAACGATACAAAAATTGCTGATCAGCTTTACTGTAACCTATTTAAAACTTATTCGGAAAAAGAAAATTGTTAGAAGATAAGTAGATAAGGCGATCACCGAACGGCTGCTGCTGTTTTATTTATTAATGCCCAACTGGGCTAAAAGTCTTAACTTGGTAACATAGGTAAAATTTCCGGTTTAAGCTCCCTTTAAAATCAGAGCGCCTAAATTAGAAGACCAAAACCAATGAATAGTGTAAGAGAACAATTTAAAAGTATTTCAATTTAAGCTTTCTTCATACCACCCTGTATCTATGCACAGGCACTTAAAGTAGCGTACTTATTCGAGTGTGCCAAAAATGTGGGAGGTCGTCAGCGGCAGCATTTTGTGCGTATCAAGTCCTCAAGATGAAACACTTAAAATGCTGTCAGCATTGTTATTATACTTGAAATACACTCAACGAAACAACAACAATAACAGTGCATCGTGAAATTCGTGTGGGTTGATGATAGTTCCTGCACAACTATGAAAGCAATTAATGCTTAAGGGCTTAACAGCGAGATTTTTGGCTTAAGGGACTTTCGGTACGACTTTGAAAAGGTACAAAATGTATAAAGTGACTTGTGACAAGTGACTAGTAACTGAAGTGTTGCATAGTTTTATATTTTGGTGAGTCGTTGCGAAACATTTTAAAATTAAACTTTTCAAATCATTGTCTTTAATAATTGCTTCCTTTCTGCCTTTGCAAATCAAAGATAAAAACAAATAAAACGATGCTAGAATGAGCGGAAATGAAAGTTTATTTACTTAATTAAATTGAAACGTTAGCTTTATTTAGTGGCAAGTATATAGAAACATATATTGTTGATTAAACTGCCTTTTGAATGAAATAATTGTCATTTAAATCAATTGCTTTTCAAGTCAAGGTGCATAATTTTTCAGTACGGTGTAGTTCAGTTCAGCTCTTTAGCTCTGTCAAGTCATACCGTTTTATGTGAGTGACTCGAAATGTCAAATATGTGAATCGTTGCAGGAGATTAGTATATATGTATAACTCGAATAGTTTAAGGGTTATAATAGATATATATGCAGTAGGGTGCTTTTTTTTTAACTATTATTATTTTTTCGATCCAATGTTAAAATTTGTTGGAAACACCAAAAAAAAATTCCCTGAAAGTTTGAGCTCTTAATATTAATATTAAGTACTAGACCAAGGCCTGAAAAGATTTTTCATCTAAAATACACGTAAAACTTGATTTTTTTTCTTTTTAATTTTATAACCCCGTGGCCTTTGATGCAATTATCTCACCCGTCATTAGGTATTCCTCCAGTCCTAAAAGAAAAATCTTTTCGAATATTGAAGTTAAATTTAATAAAAATCATAGAGGTCTCCAGTAAGACGTTTTTTGGAGCTCTCGTTCTCAAAACGAAACTAAAGCACGTTTCACACATACGTAGTGATAAATACTCAGGGTTTCGAGAGCAGTAGCCAATATTACTAGATGTTGCGTGAATACAACTTCAAATTACACGCCAAAAGCCGGTTTTATCTTTTTCACCCGCAATTATCTATATCAGATTTATTACAGCAATATAGCAAAGGTGGAAGATATGATTATTTTTTTATTTCTATTAGACAAGCTTTCCTCGCTACTTCTTGAATATAATTCTCGTCTACTCGAAGTAGAAAATTATTAAAAACTTAGAGCGTAAATTACCTAGATCATACCAAAGTTGCGAGCCCTTGACTTCCAAAGGTTATGGTCGATAAAAATTTAATAAAATTATGCAGTCTTGCTGACGAAAGAGATAATATATCAGTGGTCGAACCCAAAATGTAAAGGTTGTGTTTGCGAGATTTATCTGCAGGAAATGGCGAGGAGATAATGAGAATAAGGGAGAGGAACGAATTAAGTAATTTAGACTGTTTGCAGCTAACAAGACTGTATATATTTATGCAGCCGGGGTCGTCAAGTCTTATATGAAGAACAAATGGAGTATCTTAACAAGTTTTGGAGATAAAAAATATGTAATATAATGACAACGCAGGGTTTGAAGAAGAAATAAACCACCGATAGAAGGGTGGTATAATATATCTTTGGTTGCTTGAATGTTGCTAGGAGTGATACAAAACACATTTTTTAATTCAATTGGCGCACCCTGTATACACACGCATCCACAACAACGCGCATGTGACCCATTTCAATAAGAAAACGCAACATTAGTTGCGGCAATAAAGTGCAGACACTCCTAACGGTAAGATATTAAATGCATTTCCTGCATTAATTTCGCGTACTCAAAACGCGAGACTTTTATCTGTAAATGTGTGTGTGTATGAACACTGTCATCATAACAAATGTTTTCACGCTGACAAACGTGGCAAGCGGCAATCAGACATTGCAATATTTTCGCTATCAACATGAAATCAGTTTAAATTAACTGTCTGTGGTAAGTTGCGTGTATTGAAAATGCTTGCTACATGTTTAACCAATTCATTGCACAAGCACACACCCATACTTGCAACAATAAGAGCAACAAGATAATGCAACAAAGCGAAATGTTGAAA